ATAAACTGCCTCCGCCAACCCCTAGGTCCTTTCCCCCTCTTTCATACATTTTTTAAAAAAAATTTACCAACCCTAAACTTTTATCCCCCTGTTTTTAACTTTTCTGTCATGATCCCATCAGTTCCAGCTGCTTTCCCCCCTTTCATTCTACGTAATGCCTCACGTACCTCCACCACACTTACATTCTGCTCTTCTTCACTCCTAAAAGATGGTATACCTCCCTGGCCAGTGCATGAAATTACCGCCTCCCTTTCTTCCTTAACATTTAAAGTTCCTCAAAATAATCTCGCCATCTACCTAATACCTCCCTCTCCCCATCTACTAACTCCCCTACTCTGTTTTTAACTGACAAGTCCATACTTTTCCCTAGGCTTTCTTAACTTGTTTAACTCACTCCAAAATTTTTTCTTATTTTCATTAAAATTTCTTGGCAGTGCCTCTCCCACTCTTTCATCTGCTCTCCTTTTGCACTCTCTCACCACTCTCTTCACCTTTCTTTTACTCTCCATATACTCTGCTCTTCTTATAACACTTCTGCTTGTAAAAACCTCTCGTAAGCTACCTTTTTCTCTTTTATCACACCCTTTACTTCATCATTCCACCAATCACTCCTCTTTCCTCCTGCCCCCACCCTCCTATAACCACAAACTTCTGCCCCACATTCTAATACTGCATTTTTAAAACTATTCCAACCCTCTTCAACCCCCCCACTACTCATCTTTGCACTAGCCCACCTTTCTGCCAGTAGTCGCTTATATCTCGCCCGAACTTCCTCCTCCCTTAGTTTATACACTTTCACCTCCCTCTTACTTGTTGTTGCCACCTTCCTCTTTTCCCATCTACCTCTTACTGTAACTGTATCTACAACTAAATAATGATCCGATATATCAGTTGCCCCTCTATAAACATGTACATCGTGGAGCCTACCCATCAACCTTTTATCCACCAATACATAATCTAACAAACTACTTTCATTACGTGCTACATCATAACCTTGTATATTTATTTATCCTCTTTTCATAAAATATGTATTACTTATTACCAAATTTCTTTCTACACATAGCTCAATTAAAGCTCCCTATTTACATTTACCCCTGGCACCCCAAAATTACCTACTACTCCTCCATAACATTTTTACCCACTTTAGCATTGAAATCCCCAACCACCATTACTCTCACATTTGATTCAAAACTCCCCACGCATTCACTCAACATTTCCCAAAATCTCTCTCTCTCCTCTACACTTCTCTCTTCTCCAGGTGCATACACACTTACTATAACCCACTTTTCACATCCAATCTTTATTTTACTCCACATAATCCTTGAATTTATACATTTGTAGTCCTCTTTTCCTGCCATAGCTTATCCTTCAACATTATTGCTACTCCTCTTTAGCTCTAACTCTATTTGAAACCCCTGACCTAATCCCATTTATTCCTCTCCATTGAAACTCTCCCACCCCCTTCAGCTTTGTTTCACTTAAAGCCAGGACATCCAGTTTCTTCTCATTCATAACATCCACAATCATCTCTTTCTTATCATTTGCACAACATCCACGTACATTCAGACTTCCCACCTTGACAATTTTCTTCTTCTTATTCTTTTTAGTAATCTTTACAGGAAAAGGGGTTACTAGCCCATTGTTCCCGGCATTTTAGTTGACTTTTACAACACGCATGGCTTACTGAGGAAAGATTCTTATTCCACTTCCCCATGGATATAAAAGGAAAAGTAATAAGACCAAGAACTATTAAGATAAAATCAAGGAAAACTCAGATGAGTGTGTATAAATAAACGTGTACATGTATGTGTAGTGTGACCTAATTGTAAGTAGAAGTAGCAAGACGTACCTGTAATGCTGCATATTTACGAGACAGACAAAAGACACCAGCAATCCTACCATCATGTAAAACAATTACAGGCTTTCGTTTTACACTCACTTGGCAGGACGGTAGTACCTCCCTGGGTGGTTGCTGTCTACCAACCTACTACATACATACATACATACATATTATATATATATATATATTATATATATATATATATATTTTTTTTTTTTTTTTTCCAACAAGTCGGCCGTCTCCCACCGAGGCAGGGTGACCCAAAAAAGAAAGAAAATCCCCAAAAAGAAAATACTTTCATCATCATTCAACACTTTCACCACACTCGCACATTATCACTGTTTTTGCAGAGGTGCTCAGAATACAACAGTCTAGAAGCATAAACATATAAAGATACACAACATATCCCTCCAAACTGCCAATATCCCAAACCCCTCCTTTAAAGTGCAGGCATTGTACTTCCCATTTCAACAAGTCGGTCGTGTCCCACTATTTTTTTTAGTCAATACTTTCTTTTATATTCAATTAAAAGAAGTGACCGTTAAAAGCAAGTTTAATAATTATACAATAAATTAATTAAAATTTGAAATTCCAATTCAACCTGAAACCCAAAAAAGTTAGCAAACTATGAAAAACTGAAGAAATGCATACTTTATAACAAACATCATACCTAAGGATAGACTTCTGAATAAGGAGAACATTACAACCCGCAGCCTTAATTTTCTTTGTGATATTGAGGATATACTGACGCTCTTCACGAAGGACACGGTCCATGGCGGCATAGTCACGAATGACTACAGTGTTATCCATCTGAAAGAAAAAAATTCTTCAGAAACTCAGTACTGTATGTGCACAAGAATTATAAAAAATCTCCATTTAGCATGACCTTAATACAAATGAATTCATAAGATTATCTTTTTAGTATGTAGGGTTCCAAATCTAAAACATCCAAATGATAGCATAATGCAACATAGAGCCCACAAGCAAGCTGGTACATCTGGTACTAGGGTGTACTCCAACAGATGGGACAGTCCCATTTCAGCACAGAAAACATGAATCCATTAGAACAACATTCCTTATCTCTACAGATGCCTCAACACAACACTCTTTTCCCTCATAAATTCTATGGTTCACCTAGTTTTTCACAGACCTGTCCACTGACAAATTCACTCCCAAACATCTGAACACATACACCCTCCTTTCAATCTGACATCCAATCTTTCATTACCTAAATTTTCTGTTACCCTCATCACTTGCTCTTAAGTTCACTTTCAATTTACTTCTTTTCCATGACCCTTCAAAATTCACCCACCAACCTTTGCAACTTCTCTTCAGAATCTCCCATAAGCACAGTGTGATTGGCAAAAAGCAACCATGACAAATCCCCTTCTGTATTAGATTCTATGCATTTTAATCCCACACTTCTCAACACCCTAGCATTTGTTTGTTTTAGAACTACATTGTAAATATGTTAAGCAATTATGGCGACATCACACATCCCTGTCTAAGACTCTACTTTTACTGGGAAACAATCTATCCTTTTCCTACATACCCTAACCTGCACCTCATTATCACAATAAAAACCTCTTAACTGCTTTTAGTAACCTACCACCTTATTGCATACACTTACATCTGCCATACTGCTCCACTATCCACTTTAAAGTGCAGGCATTGTACTTCCCATTTCCAGGACTCAAGTCTAGCTATACAAAAATAACTGGTTTCCCTGAATCCCTTCACTAAATATTACCCTGCTCCCACTCCAACAGCTCGTCAGGTCCCAAAAATCATTCGTCTCCATTCACTCCTATTTAACACGCTCACGCATGCTTCTTGGAAGTTCAAACCCCTCACCCACAAAACCTCTTATACCCACTCCCTCCAACCTTTTCAAGGATGACCCCTACTCTGCCTTCCTTTCCCTACAGATTTATATGTTCTCCATGTCATTCTACTTTGATCCATTCTCTCTAAATGACCAAACCACCTCAACAACCCCTCTTCAGCCCTTTGACTAATACTTTTATTAACTCCACACCTTTTCCTAATTTCCACACTCCAAATTTTCTGCCAAATATTTACACCACACACTGCCCTTAGATAGGACATCTCCACTGCCTCCAAGTACCTCCTCGCTGCAGCATCTACATCCCAAGCTTCACACCCATATAAGTGTTGGTACCATTATACTTTCATACATTCCCTTCTTTGCCTCCACAGACAACGTTTTTTGTCTCCACATGTACCTCAACGCATCACTCACCTCTTTTCCATCATAAATTCTATGGTTAATCTCATCCTTCACAAACCCATCCGCTGACACGTCAACTCCCAAATATCTAAAAACATTCACTTCTTCCATACTCCCTCACTCCAATCTGATATCCAATTTTTCTTAATCTAAATCATTTGATACCCTCATCACCTTACTCTTACCTATGTTCACTTTCAACTTTTTACCATTACACAAAATCCCAAACTCGTCCACTAAACTTTGCAACTTTTATTTAGAATCTCCCCTAAGCACCGAATCATGGTGACATTACACATCCCTGTCTAAGACCTACTTTTACCAGGAAGTAATCTCCCTCTTCTACACACCCTAACCTGAGCCTCACTATCCTCATAAAAACTCTTTACAGCATTTAGTAACTTACTACCTATTCCATATACTTGCAACATCTGCCCCGTTGTTCCCCTATTCACTATCAAATGCCTTTTCTAAATCCATAAATACAATGAAAACTTCCCTACCTTTATCTAAATACTGTTTACATATATGCTTCAATGTAAACACTTGATCTACACATCCCCTACCCACTCTAAAGCCGCCTTGCTCATCCGCAATCCTACTCTCTGTCTTACCTCTAATTCTTTCAGTAATAACACTACCGTACATTTTTCCTGGTATACTTAATACACTTATTCCCCTATAATTTTTATTATCTCCTTTGTCCCCCTTCCCTTTATATAAAGGAACTATACATGCTCTCTGCCAATCCCAAGGTACTTTCCCCTCTTTCATACATTTATTAAATAAAAATACCAACCACTCCAACACTATATACCCCCCTGCTTTTAACAATTTCTGTCATGATCCCATCAGTTCCAGCTGCCTCGCCCCTTTTATTCTACGTAATGCCTCACGCAACTCCCCCACATTCACATCCTGCTCTTCTTCACTCCTAGATGATGTTTTACCTCCCTGGCCAGTGCATGAAATTACCGCTTCCCTTTCTTCATCAACATTTAAGTTCCTCAAAATATTCCTGCCATCTACCCAATACCTCCAGCTACCTCCCTATCTACTAACTCCACTACTCTGTTTTTAACTGACAAATCCATTCATTCCCTAGGCTTTCTTAACTTTTTTATCTCACTCCAAAAATTTTCTTTTCATTAAAATTTCTTGACAGTGCCTCTCCCACTATCATCTGCTCTCCTTTTGCACTCTCTCACCACTCTCTTCACCTTTCTTTTACTCTCCATATACGTACTCTGTTCTTCTTGTAACACTTCTGCTTTGTAGAAACCTCTCATAAGCTACCCGTTTCTCTTTTATCACATCTTTCACTTCATCATTCCACCAATCACTCCTCTTTCCTTCTGTACCCACCCTCTTAAACACCCCTCCCCCCCACTACTCATATTTGCACTAGCCCACCTTTCTGCCAATAGTTGCTTATATCTCACCCTAACTTCCTTCTCCCTTAGTTTATACACTTTCACCTCTCTCTTACTTGTTGTTGCCATTTTCCCTTTGTCCCATCTACCTCTTACTCTAACTGTAGCGACAACTAAATGATCTGATATATCAGTTGCCCCTCTATAAACATGCACATCCTGAAGCCTATCAATATATAATCTTACAAACTACTTCATTATGTGCTATATCATACCTAGTATACTTATTTATCCTCTTTTTCATAAAATATGTAGTACTTATTACAAAATCTCTTTCTACACATAGCTCAATTAAAGGCTCCCCATTTTCATTTACCCCTGGCACCTCAAATTTACCTACTACTCCCTCCACAACATTTATACTCACTTTAGCATTGAAATCCCCAACCACAAGTACTCTTACACTTGGTTCAAAACTCCCCATGCACTCACTCAACATTTCTCAATCTCTCTCTCTCTCTCAATCTCCCTCTCTCTCTCTCAATCTCCCTCTCTCTCTCTCTCAATCTCCCTCTCTCTCTCTCTCAATCTCTCTCTCTTTAGGTGCATACACTTACTATAACCCACTTTTCACATCCAACCCTTATTTTACTCCACATAATCCTTGAATTAATACATTTATATTCCCTCTTTTCCTGCCATACCTTATCCTTCAACATTATTGCTACTCCTCCTTTAGCTCTATTTGAAACCCCTGATCTAATCCCATTTATTTCTCTCCACTGAAACTCTTCCACTCCCTTCAGCTTTGTTTGACTTAAAGCCAGGACATCCAGCTTCTCCTCACTCATTACCTCCACAATCATCTCTTTCTTAACATTCGTACAACATCCACGCACTTTCAAACATCCCACTGACAGTTTTCTTCTTTTTCCTTTTAGTAGGCTATACGGAAAATGGGGTTACTAGCCTATTGTTCCCGGCATTTTAGTTGACTTACAACATGCATGGCTTACGGCGGAAAGATTCTTATTCCACTTCCCCATGGATATAAAAGGAAAAGCAATAAGAACAAGGACTATCAAGATAAAATCAAAGAAAACTCAGATAAGTGTGTACAGTAGGGCCCCGCTTTACGGCGTTTCGCTTTACGACGTTCCGCTAATATACAGTCATTTCAAATTATGTCCAAAACTCGCTATACGGCTCCCCCCACCTGACTTTCTAATACGGTCACTGCGCCCCACCTGGTTTGTTTACATTCTGTGAGATGCGTAAGCACTAAGTCTCTCCATTATGTCTGGAGACTCCAAAATTTCAAGTATTTTTTAAAAGTTATTTCATATTTTATATATACGTACTCTGATAATTATACTTATGTATACCTGTACCTAAATAAACTTACATACTGTGCTGGCATGCAGGTACACATTAAAATCAGTAAGTGTGTCCTACGTCTCCAGACGCCATATTAGTAATGATAATAATCACCGAGTGTCATTTAAATGTCGTATATTACGTTAATATACACATTTTCATTAATCCATCTACGATATTTTTTCAAAATTATATAAACACAATGCATAACATATAAATATGATAAATACACCCCACAGTAGAATAAATAAACATAAATATGAGATGTGATAGCAGACGACTTGCACAAGTGATGCCACATTATGAGGATAACAAAAAGATTAGGTGATGAAAGATTGGATATCAGAATGGAGGGAGAGAGTATGGAGGAGGTGAATGTATTCAGATATTTGGGAGTGGACGTGTCAGCAGATGGGTCTATGAAAGATGAGGGGAATCATAGAACTGATGAGAGGAAAAGGGTGAGTGGTGCACTTAGGAGTCTGTGGAGACAAAGAACTTTGTCCTTGGAGGCAAAGAGGGGAATGTATGAGAGTATAGTTTTACCAACGCTCTTATATGGGTGTGAAGCATGGGTGATGAATGTTGCAGCGAGGAGAAGGCTGGAGGCAGTGGAGATGTCATGTCTGAGAGCAATGTGTGGTGTGAATATAATGCAGAGAATTCGTAGTTTGGAAGTTAGGAGGAGGTGCGGGATTACCAAAACTGTTGTCCAGAGGGCTGAGGAAGGGTTGTTGAGGTGGTTCGGACATGTAGAGAGAATGGAGCGAAACAGAGTGACTTCAAGAGTGTATCAGTCTGTAGTGGAA